GCTGATCGCAAAAGGGACCGACTGCGCACACGTTTACTGCGGTCCCTGATGGCTATTTTATTGTGACCCAGTGGAGAAGCCTTAAAACATACCCACTTAATATAAACTAACATAACAAAAATCTATCGATTACATATGACTCCACGCTCAGTTTAGACTAGATCGTTCAAGAAATTTTGGGGTACGGTGTCTCGACAAATACATATAAGCCGAATGTACCGTAGATTTTGACATAAGCTTCGCTGGCGACCAAATTCATAATAACCCGCTCAGCAGCTTAACTGTAGACTTATGTCAGCATACCTTACTCGGATCAAAAGTGTTTCCATACCAGCAGCTTCCTTAGACGATTTAACCTATATGATTGCGTATCTTTCATCATATAACTTTATGACAGATGTATAAATCTATAAGAAAATCTAAGATCTTCTGCACTAATCAGATGACCTTAACTTAAAAATCTTTTTATAGAAACAAACAATCTAATTCGATTTGTGACCTTCACTGCATTTTGGCGGCATTAATTGAAGGATGAAGAAGTATATAACGAAAAGAAACTCAAAATTCTTACTTCGGTTGGATGGACATTCAACTGATGACCGCTGGGACCAGCGGAAGAATCCTCGCCAGTTATTAGACGACTACGGTCACAATCACAGCAGTTGCACCTGTGTAAGCCCAGCACCGAGACAATCTTCGAAATATGGTGACCCATGAATGTTATATCCCTTTTCAGGTCGTCCAACTGATAGTCCGGAGTAGCGTTCCTCGGCGGTACATCCGATTCTGATTTTGAATTCTCTTCTGCCAGCAAGTCTGCAGCGCTCTCTAAATTATTGTCGCCTTCTCGCAGCTCCATAGGAACGTCAGCCGATGGTTCATCATCGGCAGCTACCGCCGCGCCCCCGAGCTTTTCGACTCCCTCCTTTTCTGAATTGCCAAGAACACTGTCATTAGGGCAGTCGTCCGTCATTTATGGAACCTTTAATCGATTATCCGTAACTGAAATGGAATCAAAACTTCATTTTAAAAACGCTTGATATTCATCATATTTATAACTCAGCACTACACATCGCCAAGAGTTTTATCGAAAATTAAATCTTTCAAGTATGTCAGCTACAGGAGGAAATTATTTCGTTAACAATTTAATTTG